AAATTTAAAGGGTTTTACATGTTTTGTTAATGAATTTGTTTCATATGTCTTTTAGGTGTAAATACTTGTTACAATGTTTGTTTGTTTGGGTTTTTTGTTGTTCTTTTTATTGCCTTTGTTGTGTTTGTTGTTGACAAGGTCAGCAGAAGAACGTTATGGGCTTTTAATGTACAGACGTGAATTTTATTTTTTCTGAAACTAAGTAAAGAAGTCCTGGTGGATCAAGGGATATTTGCTAAGTTACTGCACTGATCTATCAACCATTACCATTTGTCAATGGAGGCCATGTAAACGTTCAAAGTCAGTTATCAAAGTCAGCGATCAAAGCGATTTGGCAACTGAGACCATGGAAAATTTTCGCCAGTGATCAGAGCCATTTGATCATGGAGACCATAAACAGTTAACAGTCAGTAACAAAGGCATTTTTTTATTTTCTATTTTCTTGCTATATCTGAAGATTTACCTGTACGAAGTAACATGTAAAGATTTATTACTTCACATTAAATAACTACACAATTCTCATGTATTCTCGTATCAATATTAACGAAACGGGATCATTTACAAAATGCTTTAAATATTTTTTAAAAAGAAATTTTTAGTCATCAAGAAAAACTAACAATTTTTATCAGATTTTTTTTTTTTGGTTGGGTTTGGGGGCACGGCCAAAACCATTTTTTTGGAAAAAATGGTTCCTTGGTGGTTTTTTCTTACTTTTTGGGGGGTTGGCATGATTGAAGGGAAACCATCAAATTTTTCCGCTGCAATCTTTCCCAAATCGCAATTTTTGGGCCCCTTTTCTGTCATTTCTTGGGATTAAAAATGAAAAATAGCCGAGGAAATCCGATTGAAATTTCTAAACAACTCAGCGATTCCGTCATACTGCGGAATATTAGGGAAAATCTGACCCTTTTTTAGTTACTTGGGTAATCCCATTGGTTTAATAAATGGGGATTTAAATTTTTTACTTGTTTTATCGGTTTTAAATAAAGGAAAAGAAAGAATTATAAACGAAAATTGCGTTCCGTTTCAATTCTTTTCAAACGAAAGTTAGTTTCTTTTAAATTGTTTTTTGTCTTTTATTAGTTTTATGTACAAAGATAATGGTTACTGAGTAGTATTCCGCTCTCTTACCAAAAATCGTGAAACATAATCAACGAAAATTAGTGCATAATCATTATATTTATTAGATCACTGAGATAGTTGTAAACCCGTCTTGGGGTGAGGTAAATCTAAGAATACCCACGCATATCATTAACCTTAACCACTGCTGATTAAACAGAACCGCATCCTGTGTTGTCGGTTATATTCTGTGATCATAAATTTTTTAGGTGTAACACTAAGTTGATACATCTTATTAATTGAAAACCACGTAACAAGTCTTTTAGTGGCAATTTACTTTCTAACTAAGCTCATAAATGAAATTAGCAACTGTCAAAACGAATGACTCTCTCTGCGAAAAAAGTGGAATTGAAATGTGCACATTTGTTTCCCTTAAATATGATAGATAGATCTTCACGTGGGAGAGCCAATGTTAGTATTTTTACCATTGATTATTTTCTTTATTAGTTTTATACAATAGAGAGTATATTTCAAATCGTTTTTGACAAAAAATATTCGTTTTTACAAAAAAAAGTTGTTACTGTTATCGTCAGCATGTTCCTGTTCAGTTATAATCAGTGGACTGACTTCTGGTCCTTTTTTGGCCAAATTTGCATGCATTACACTTGGGCTCAAACAAATGGGCACAGATGCTCGTCCAGTCTTGGGCTTACCCCACCTATCCCTTTAAAAGTGAAGAAAAAAACTAAATAAACCCTTTATCATATACAATTACCGTAATTAAAAAAGAACTTTGATAATAAATTGAAATAAAACAATTTTTTTTAAAGGGATGAATGATGGCACAACTGAGCAAGCCTTTCCTTTTTAAAGGAAACTTTATTGTATTTTGTCTTTATTTTGTAGATTTTTTGCTAACTGACAAAGCAAGTTGGGCATGCACCAACACGTCACGAGCTGTTGAATCAATCGCAACTTCTCGATCCTTTCCGGCAGACATCGGATAAGGACCTTGGACACAATATAGCAGCATTATGCAGAAATAGAAAATTTATTGATAGGAGTTGTTGCCGAAGTGTATTCCAATATATTGAATATTTAATTTAGTACCCCTAAATTAAAGCGGGTTTCATCTTTTATTTTTGTGTTGGTTGTTTCAAGAGCTATTTATAACATCCAAAATAGATCGGGAAAAGAATCGTCCGCTTTACTAGAGGGGACCGGTAAATTTGAGGTATGTAGAGGTTTCCTTATTGTTTATGTATTTTATCGTCAATGAATTTCATTTTTCCAGCTTAATTCTTTTGATTTGACAATGATATGAAAAGATTATTATTTTAAAAACAAACAGAACATTTTTAACCATTACAAAAGCTGGAACGCCGCTTTTAGTAAATTTGTAGATTATAAAAGGTAAAAGGTACATTATTTGTATAGTATAACTTATTATAATTGGTTGTAGAAACCAAAAAGTACATAATGCCTGTCCTGTTGACAATAACTCTGATTTGCTTATGATTGTGTGGGGTGTACAATTGATAATGATTGTCTCAAATTTTTTTTTCAGAAATTTATTTTTAGCAAATTATTTTGTTTTCAAAATATATATATTTCGTTAAATATTACGAAGATTACACTCTCTGTTTATGAGAATTAAATTTTACAAAACCATGTCCCGCAGACGAATTTCAAATCCCTAAGTGGAAGTTGTCCGAGGATTATGGAAAATAGCCGGATAATGTTTCCGATTAGCAGTTTGAATTTATTCATTTTAGAAATTTTTTTTCGGGACGTTGAAATGTAATCACCGGTTTGGGGGTTAAAAACGGAAACTTGATCCAATGATTTGGAAAAAAACTTTATTAAATAATATAGTTTTTTTCTTTTTTTCCAGTAACAAGAATAAGTATATCACAATAAACCCCTTCACCACGTTTTACACTATATAAAGAGAGTTACAAGATTCATCTTAATTTTTAATAAAAAAATTTCTTAAAATATATATGTATTAAAAAGGAAAAATATTGTGAAAATGAAACAAAGAAAGTACTTGACCATTACAATCGGCGTTAATCACCAAAAGAGGTCAAAATATGCAAAAAATAGCCCCTACTCGCGTTAGTAACGCAGTAGAAATATAGTGATAAATACTACAAAATACAGTCATTAATTGCATATAAGATATAAATTATCACTTGAACCTTTAATTTGTTTACTTTTACTCAAAGTTTAGTATGGTTTTTTCGCAAGTTTAAATTTTCTTGAACTTTTTTGGGTCATCTGGAGGCATGCAGCTTTAAAGATTAGTTATTAATATTGCAGCAATTACTCCGCCATCACCACTTATTTCCAATACCGGAAAACAGCGAGGACTTTGACATTTTTTTTTCAAATCCTATGGTAAATGTCACACGATGGCAGCAGTTAGTTGTAAAAGGCCCGCTTAATATCCGCTCCCCGGCAGTTTGATTGATTCCGGGCTAGTTTGTTGTTAAACGAAACCCCACAACATTGTTCCGTAAAATTTCGGCTTCATTCCCTGTCCGTAAAATTCGGCTCATTTTCCCCACCCCACTATCTGCCACCAACTTGCCTAGGGTCCTGTGGGTTACACCGACTATTTCATAATACATAAATAAAGCTCTAAGAAAGCAATATCAGCAGGTTATTTGGGCCAAAAAAAAAAAAAAAAAAAAAAAAAAAAAATGTACAGTTGATTTTTACAATGGTGGTGCGGAAAAATTTCTTGAATACGTGTCCACTATTCCACACCAAAGCACACATATAACCGTACCGATGGCCTCTAGTGGTTAAGGCGTCCTCCCTCGGATCGGGAGGTCGAAAGGTTCGAGCCCACGGGAGCCGTTAATTGAAGGATGAATGTTTCTCGTGGACTCGTTTCCGAAATGGCCGCTTCGTGAGCCGCGAGGTTTTAGTTAAAAGAAGGTTTTACCGATTTCTATCCGCCTGGCGCCTGGCATAGTGGTAGGAATTGGGAGGTACATGGTATGCAACCAAAAGGTGTCTCATAAGTCAAAATGGCTGGCCCTTTCAGTAGGGGTGACACTTTAATAAACAAGTCCTTTACCATATAAATTGCATATAAATCATGTTAAATAATGAAAGATTAAAGGCGCACGTCGGTCAAAATAACAAATATATATACAATGTATATGAAAATAAAAGTATCCGAAAATTTATATAATTTACGTTAGATTTAGTTAGCACTGTATTTCTACAATAAACGGAGTATTGGCAAATTTTTGTATTTAGTGGCGGCGTACCAGAGAGGTTCTAAATTCTGGAGGCTATATCATAAGTTTGCGTAATTTTCTAGTACATTTAATATGTTGTTTATCTGGATTGTTAAGTGCCGTGACAAATATTATATCTTAATTAAAAGGCCCATCCATGCCCAAGAAATGGTTTTTTATTTTTTCTTTCTAAAAAGCTTTTTATTTTAGGTGTACTTTACAGTTTCCAAAAGTTTGCTCATTGACCAATAACCTGAACTATCATTTTCTTCGTTTGCTGTTTGGCAATTGGTATAATATAATTACAGTGATTTAGTATTTTTGTGTGGAAGTCAAATTTGTTTACATTTTGCTAATTTTGTGACAAATTCACTCATTAAGTGCTACTTTCTTCATGTAACAAGTATCTAACTTGCCCTTAAACCATTATTTAAATGTTACAAAATTAATATTTGCCATTTTAAAGAAATAAATTTGTATTCGTTTTTGAGGCATAATGTGCCTTTAAAATTGGATTGTAAAAGGAGATGTGCAGCTTTAAAGGCGAGCCAATTTACTTTTTTAATAGAACAGATTATTATTTCCCTACTCAGTTAAGAATTTAAGATTTTTATTAAACTTTATCAAACTAATTTGACCACATGCATTTGTAAAACTCCTCCATGATATTTACATGAACATAATGAAAATAGTAAATTTAAATCCAATTTTTTTTTATTCAAATCAATAATCATAAATGTACAAATGACAATTCAATGACAGTCTATATTAAGATCAATCCTATCACCAATATATCTATATCAATTTCCCGTTCGTTATTCAACAGCCATACAAAAACAGTTTTGTTCAAAATGTCAACACAATTTACAATATTTGCGGCAGTTTTTCGCCATGTACCCCCTGTATTGACTATCAGTGCAGTATTTCGGATCAAATTTCGAACAATCGGCGCAATCTGAAATAAAAAAAATATATTCAAATTTATAGAACAGAACAGAACAACACTTGATAAACTCTATTTACATAAAAGCAACTGTTAAATATGTAAACATATATTTAACCAATCTACTTATTTCGTACATGTAGACGGATAGAGTTATAAAGAGCTGATTAAAATCAGATTGTTAATACAAAGAATTGTGAAAGAAATTTTTTTCTTATATATTTTATGTAATGTCGTGATTTTTTTACAAAATTATATGCGTTGCCATTTATTCAGCATTCACTCGTAAATATTCGGCAAATTTCGTTAATTTTCGTATTCTAAATGAAATAAAATAATATAAAAGTCGATTTCACAAAGTGAAAATGTTTGGTATTAAATCGATTTTCTTTCGACCCTTTTCGTTTTCTTTAAAAACAAATATGCGTCAATTTGACCATAGAGGTACTTAAAGATCCTGTAACACAACTTTTTATGGTTTTAAATCATAAATATGATGCTTAAATTAAGATTTATCAATTTGGTATGTTCCGAAAAGCATTACATTTCTTGTGTTTATAAAAATATAACCGAATTTAACATTTCATGTATGTAAAGGGAGGTAATAAAAAGTCTACTTTCTAAAAAGTCTTCGTCAAATTTTTCTATAACAAATGAATGCATATATTTTAATCATAACATACGTTTAATGTGCGTAATATATTTTGCATTACATATTTTACATATTCGTCGATGTTTAAAAATTGTTTTATAAGCATAACTACATACATATATATAATTTAACTCAAGTGTGGTAATACAACCTCAATTACAACATACAAGATCTTTTAACTGTAATGTTTCCGTTTATTTCTCCCAATCTTAGCATACATGTATTTATAAAATAAAATAAGCAAAACTTAATTGTAACAAATTTGATAGTTTTGCCCCTAGAAATTTACTTGAACAGGTTTCGGCTGTTATCGCAATTTTGGTGGCTTATTCCTTTCATATTAGATATTGTTACAATTTTAGGGAAAATGTCGATGTTGACCGGAAGAAAATTTTATTCTAAGCTTTGATTTGAACGAATAACCTAAATTTAGTTAAAACACATTTGAAATTAAGTATTAAAATTCTTCAGGAGTCAGTTTTATAAACGCACTATTGTATCTATGTTTGACTATGATACAAAAGAGAAAGAACATCAAAACACTCGGCAATCTGATTTATACTCGGGGGCGTAGCCCCTCGTACAAATCAGATAGCCTTGTGCTTCGGTGCTCTTTCTATTACTTCTATGTCAATTTCTATTTACATATTTTTTTTACAGAAAAGTTACAAATACAATTTAAATTGTTACTTTCTAACTACTTTTTGCATAAATATCAGCTTTAAAAATATTTTTACGACACTAGTCAACTCTTATCCTGATGGCGGCAACTGAAGTAACCCATGTGACTAGAATAGGAACATCCTCGGCTATTATACATAATACGTCCTTATCCGAAGACTGACGGAAAGGGCCGAAATGTTGCGATTGATGCAACCAGTGCCGACTTAGATCAGCCGATATCCGTGCCGTCTGTTCATGGTCTGCACTTTTTGCTTTTCATTTAGTACTTGTATTTAAAGATACCCTAAAAATGATGAATGATTTCGTCGAGGTTATAAGATGGAACAATAAGATGGAACAATCCATTTAAGATATTTAGGGTGATGAGCGTTAAACATTCATCAAGAAAGGATCCAAATAACTTAACAAAAAAACAACTACATGGATATAAAAAAAAGTCAAACAATATTATTCCCCAAATAAATGACTAACTTACCACGACAAAGGTTGCATGACTGTGGACAATGAGCATGCATCCATACTTTATACGAGGGGTTATTACATGCATCAACTGATTGGTCTACTCTTTGACAGCTATTTTCGTCTACACACGAGCCATTTCCTGAAAAAATGAGAGCCATTTCTTAAAAAATGACGACATGTTAAAAAGCGATTTCGTCGTCTTGAAGAAATTCCACTGAGGTTTAAAACCACAGAAACAGTACATTTTAATTTCTTACATAGATCATCCGGTGTACTTTAATTATAAAGATATGTAAAAATGATTAAGAAATATACTGAAATATTAATTGAAATTATAATTATATTTTTGTGCTATTCTTAGCCTGCTTTGAGTAAAAAGCGTTGCAACGCGTTTAAATTCAGGGCCATTTTTCACAATAAGAATAATATTCTGGAAAAACGAAGTGAGCGAATGATCTTATATGGTAAAGATGATCATCAAATAAAACAAGTCGAAAAAATATCTCCAGTCGTATTATGTCAAAAACAACTCTGATCAGGGTCCATGCTGTTCGCTTACAAACCCTATAACAAGTAGAAAAACTGATAGCGAACAGCATGGATCCTGATCAGACTGCGCGGATGCGCAGGCTGCTGTCGCAAACCCATTATGTTGGTTTTGTCGTGACGCGGCTCAATTTTCAATTAATTTTTTAGTATTTGTATATTTCTTTAAGTACACAAGCTGATCTATTTTTAGAAATTCAAATATTGTGTTTCTGTGGTTTTACACCTCAGTAGTGTTTCTTTAACCATAAAAATACACGTTCATATTCAATATTTTTCATAATTTTAATATCTAATTATATGTAACATATAAATCGAGACTCCCACACTAAATTGCAGACATCTCAACTATAACGCCACCTGTCGTCCTATTTTGCTTCAATTCATTGACCACACTTTTTTCTCGCCTATATTTGCTATAAGTATTGTATTTGAAATAATTTCAGAAACAAAGTTCTTACGGCAAACACCACATGTCTTTAAACAATTTGTAAACATCCAATTTCTATATTTTCCATCACATGCAGTGCTTTCGTAGTCGTAGTACTTCTTACAGTCCGGTCTTTTATCAACGCAGGTCCCAGGAAGCACTAAATAAATACATAGATAAATAAATAAACCCAAAAACAATGCTATTGTCCATTTGTCTGATTTGTATTATCATCAGTATTATCATAATAATTATTGTCATTACTAGATCTTTATTAGAAACATTGAAAATTGGAAAATTGGTTATGTTGATCCTTTTTTTTGAGTAAGGCAGATATTGGAGCACCATACTTAATAACGTATTCCGGTATTTACCGGACAAGCCGCTTGAATGATTTAATGCTAAAATCCGCGCCTTTTCACCAATTGAAATGCACTAGTCTTTCAGATGACAAATTTATCTTCTCACACTTATCTACATGTATATATACGATTATGACTGAAAAAATGTAAGAATCGCCGATTAAAGCAATATTTTTTTATGACAAATATATCAAATATCATCTTTGAAATAAGAACTATGAAATAAGCTAGAATGTAAATCACCGAAACAAGGGTCATTGCGACACCTAATCGTATCGACTGGTTTGCTGTCCTGGTCACATAATGTGGCATTGGTTTCTACATCGGCACCGGTAGACTGAACACAAAATAGTTCCCGCGTCCTGTATCCTTCGCCACACGTTCTCGTGCACTGTAAAGAATTAACATAAAAATCGGGTTTATCATTTGACACGTGCATAAAATAGCTGACACATTTTACGGCTAGAAATGGAATATGGAGACACATTACAATGAGACTAGAGCACAACACTAAATGCCGTATTCCGGTATATACCGGACAAAGCGCTTGAATGATTAAATGCTTAAATATCGATCTTTGCACCCGTCGAAATGCACTTGAAGACGTCTTATTCATCTCTTCACACCGATTCATATTCGATAATGAATGAAAAAAAGTAAAAATCGGCGTAAAAAGCGATATTTTTCTCTTTTTTTTGTGATAATGATTTCCGCAAGCGTCTGTAGTGAGTTAAATACTAAAAAAATCAGCTGTAATACATGACCTCACTTAATCCGAACAACTTAAGGTGACAACGGAGTCAATTATCACAGAAAATACCTAAAATGAGATTTTTTGCTAAGTAGATTTATCAACCTTTTCTGAACACATTCGTGATTTAATTTTGGAAGCATTAGTCCAAAAAATATGTTTTTAAACGTTTTAAAACGGTACCTCTACCATTTTTATCTGCTATTCGCGTAACCTGTCAATTATCGATAACGCTCCGCCCCCTGTTGAGGCATCAATGAGGGAAATCGGTAGTTCCATATATGCGTGAATTACCGATCCAATTGGTCCATACCACTCGTAATTCATGTATCGTACAAATACCGTACATCTTTTATGAATATCGTCTATCTTTTATTTAGCCTTTTTTATTAAATAAGAAATTATCGGCCAATGTACGTAACAAAATGTATGAAACATAAATAATTAAGCATAGCAGCAAATCACACGACCACGGGGTTGATTAAAAATATCGTTGCTAAAATATCCATAATGTGTGAAAATAATTTGTCTGTCCCGTTAATCTGATAGATGTTACATTGAGTTTATGGACTTTTTTATGGATTCAAGGACTTGCTTTACATTCATCCTCGTTTTCTAACAATGTCAAGTAAAACAACAACAAAAACAGACAACATTTTTATGAGAACGCCTATATGACTTGTGGTAAGGTGTCCCTGACAAATTTCTAAACAATTTAAGGTTGTCTAAGGATGATTATTTCTTTATGAATCAATAAAAAAAAGATAATAAAATATATTATCAGTGAATGCTTTGAATAAATTGTTCGCCAGTAAATCGAACACAGTACTAATAAACCTGGGACAAAGTATGGAATTTATTGTTTATCCCAGTAGAAACTGGATCTCTATGCCGTGCATAGATGATACGTGAATTCATGATAATAGAAGTCAAGAAGGTCAGATCATAATGATCGAGTGATACCTTTTATTTCTATTAAATTTTTAAGCATTATATCAATTTGGAGGAAAAAATATATAGTATCCCGTTCTTATTTGTACATCGACCATGTGGACTTTAAAAGACCGCAAGAAGCTCAGTTTTTTGTTATTTTAATTGATATTTTAACTGAATTTCATACACGAATACACAGACAGATTGACACTGGTATAATATAATAATAATGCTGATGATAATAATTATAAACTTCAAAAGTGAAACAATTAAATATCCCGCTAGCGGTGCGCAAATACGTTCCATTTCCCCCCACCGAGTGCCTCAAATTTTACCGAAAGTCACGTGGCATGTGCGACAGATACCAGACGGACGGTAAATCACGTTAAGATTTGAAGAAATTTCTGTTATTAACTGATATTAATCAGCAACTTTTTAATTGGCCAGATGTCACTGGGTCATAAAAATGGTGTTAGGGTATGTTACCGCAACTTGTGACCCTCTCTGGTGCGATATGTATGTATTATGCAATTATTTAGCGTGAAACGTAGGGGTCCGAGAGAGAACAGCCGATTTATGACACTTCGTTTAATGCGGGTCGGACTAACTTTGAATTGGCATAACTTTTTTTAATAATCAAGCAATTAACATGCGGTTTAAATCACATGAAAGGGAATTCATTTACGGAGGGAACCGTGTCAGGGATTTTTGTTTGCTCAATCTGCGACATAATTATCTTTAATTACGTAATATGTATGGTGAAAAAGTCGCATAAAATGTTTGACGTTACGTAATATTTTTTTGAGAAAAGATAGAAAAAATTTGAGACACGGTTCCCCAGATATTATATGTATGTTTATTTTCCAAAAGTTTGATGACAAAAAAATAAAAAATGACTTTGATATGACGATTTAAAATTTTAAGATTTTTATTAAAAATTAATCATTTACAAAGGCATTTTTTTCAAATATGTTATTTTTTATGATGATCAACGACATTTAAAGCACAACGATTAAATAAATAACAATTATTACTAAAATAAGTTGGTTTAAATGACATTTACGTGAGTACCACGGAAAGTGTCTGTTGTCACCTTAAATGCAATTATACCATGCTACTTGTGCACACTTGAAGAATAGATGTCATTTTGATGAAAAGAAAGAATGATGATTATCACGACGATGATGTGTACAATGATGAATATATTATCATTCTATTATGACAATAATACATTATAAACTCTGCAGAACGACCACCCTTTGGTAGACAAGAATTTTGAACGCTGTTGTGAGAGATTGCTCAACAGGGATCAAAATCATTCAGAAGACTTACTTTAAGAAACAAAATATGATACTGATGTTGTGAAAAGGTGAATGCAGTTACTTTTATTATTATGCTACACAATTGATGTGTTTTATTTCTGTAACTTTTCTACATTAATTTTTCTAGAAATATGCTTATTAAATTAAGGTAGTCTCAAGGTAATTCAACATCGGCCAATATCGTAATTAATCGGTCATTTTCGGAACGTTATTTTTCTCGATTTCAGAATTCAATTTTTTAACGTTTATATCCGGAATTTAGTACATATTGTTAAAGGATGAGTGATTGCAAAGAATGTAATGACCAACATTTTGAAAAAATAAGGTTTCGGATTTAACCGAATTGCTACGATATTGGCCGATGTTAAAATTATTTTTTGGCGGGAAAGAATTACCGTAAGACCACATTTATGTTTGCCATTGCAAAATAAACTTATAAACTTTGCAATTCATTTTTATTTTCTTATTAATCATTATTATTATTATTATTATTATTATTATTATTATTATTATTATTATTATTATTATTATTATTATTATTTATATTTGCCATGGCAAAATTGTATTGTTTTCCAAATTATTATGGCAAATTTGTTCAAAAACACATGTTTGATGGAAACCTGTTCAAAATAATTTGTGTTTTCCATGGCAAAATAGACTTTTCAATTTCATATAGTAATTTTGCCATGGCAAAATTGCTTTGTAATCGGAATAGAGAGGGCAAAGTTTTTTCAATTGCAAACTTCGAATGACCAACTTTATTCAAAAATGAGTAAAACCTATTGACCAGAATAATTTTTTTAAACAAATACCTTTGACCATATGCCTGGTTTCCATGTGCACAAATTTTCACAACTTGAAGTATTGTGTGGCTTCAATTTGTCGTCGCATTTACTTGAAGGTATAGCCTTTGGTAAAATAGAAAGAAAATAAACACGCATCAAATAAAGATAAAAAATAAATGTCTTACAAATTAAACTATTTGAAAACGTTTTTTTTTTCTTCTGTAGATAAAACGATTGTTAAGTGAATTTTAATCATTGTTAATACAATTGGGTTTTTGATCAGTTTGGCTGAGTTTTCACTAGTAGGGCGAGGTAATTACAAACTTAGCAGGGTCTTGACCGGAGGGAGGGGAGGGGGTTGTCAATAAAAAATCTTAAGTTCGAGTTATTCCTGATAAATTGTGCCTGGCTTTTACATACTCAATTTACAGACTCAATCAAACCGAGAATGCAATTTTCATGTAATTTTGTTGTGATTAATGCTTCCGAGGGATCACACTTTATCCAGATTATTTGTATTAATTGGTATATGTATAATGTAAATATTGGTACAACCAAACACACCTGATCGACACCATTCACCATACTAACACACTGTAGTGTCCTCGACTTTATTCCTGTGCCGCACTCCACAGAGCATGGTCCCCAGTCTGAAACCTTCCATCTAAAAAAATATAAGAAAACAACCATGTGCAACAATTTAATAAGTGAAAGTTTTAATGGGTGACAAACCTGTACAGATATGGAGTTTCATTACATTCTAAAATGTGTACAGTCACTGAATGCAAAGGCTCGGTGTAAAAATAAGTCAAAAGGTTATTTATTTTATCTTGCATGTACTTTACCACCTCTAACCTGATAATTTATTTTTAAATTAACACTCATCATTCATTTCAGCTGATTGAATGCATAAGCCAGTTCAAACAGTTGACTGAATTTACGTGTTGCCAGAAAAATAAATATTTTTAAATTCGTTCATCTGGAGTGACCTCCCATATACGAATTAACTCTAGAGTAACCTCCCTTTTTTCACTGTAAGTAAGTATCATAAACATACATACGTTGGTGGACAAGCATGTGTGTTACATTTGGAGAATGTTTGTTTTGGTTTATTTTCCAAGCCACAATGATAGTCGTCTACAAACTCTCCTCGTATACTCATACATTTTATGGTCTTTGATTTTACACCTGGAAATAAATAAACATTTTCACTGTTAAATGCCAAAGAAATGATTTTTTTCAATTATCAAAATTCTTTTTTTTAATGTTATAGTTTCCAAAATTACTGATTGGTCAAATACCTGAACTATCCTTTGCATCTACTGCATTTTAGCCATTAGTAAAAAAATATATAGAGGATATTTGTTTGTTTGTGTGTAAGATGAAATTTTATTTCATCGAGTGGGCTTTAAAAACAGTATTCTCACGAGTGGCGTAGCCACGAGTGAGAATACTGTTTTTTTAAGTTCACGAGATGAAATAAAGTTACATCTTACACAACAAACAGACAAATTTTCTTTTTATTTTATGCTTAAAAACAAGTTAAAACGAAATTTCCATGATTTTAAGTTAATATTAAAATCTGTTTCCCCCATTGAGAGCCCCATTTAGTCGGAATTTCTCACTAAAATCAAGAAGTCTTGAGCTGAAAAATAACTCCGCCAATCAACGTTAAATGACGGTGATATTTATTCATTTTATCAAAAAAATATGAATGATCGTTTGTTTTAATAATAAAAACAAACAATTCTTGTAGGAGAAAAGTCGAACCATCCATCCATATTTCTGTTACTTACTGCGAATTTATATTAGACCTGGCTTGGTAAAATTTAAACGGCACCCATTTTTTAAAGTTGTGTATTTCATGGGAGGAAAATAATTGTGTAAGATTCAGAGGGATATAATTTGGATTTCTTAGTCATACACCTTTTTAAAAGAAAGAAAACTTATTTGAGGATTGTAACAGACAAAAAATAAGTGTTTACAGATGTGAAAACATTCAGAAAAGGAGCTAGGAAAATGGAAAACTTGGAAGCTTGCTCGAGAACGCTGGGATGTTTTACTTATTTTTCGAGTGAAGGCTGTCAATGCTTTTTTAATTTTTCATAAAGCATATGGCAGTTATTGCTCGTAGGATACTTTAATATGCCCAAATGTCATCAAGAGCAGTTTTTCATGGGGAAGGAATGTATTTTTCAGACTGTAAAAATGAAATAAAAAAAATTAGCATAGAGACGAAATTTGGTGATTGGAATTTGAATGAGTAGAAGTAAGTTTTCTTCTTTTTATTACTTTTAACATTTTAGTTATTTATCAATTTCAGCTTTGCTTTTTCTTTAAACAGCCGGACATTGTCAGAATTGTCAGCAAAAATAAAATTGAGGTACTTCATGGGGAAAATCGTAAAAAAGTAGTTTTGTCATTGAAAAGAGTGAAATTATATTTTGATAATTTTCACTGTGAAATTATCAAATATAATTTTCACGGATAAACAGTAATCCACTGAAAAGCATAAAATAAAATGATTAAGTTGTTTAAATGGAATTTTTTTATGACAAATAATAATACACCCAGTTCTACTTTCTTCAGGATATAAGTATATAAAATGTTCTAAAACCTTTATAAAAACGTAATAAAATTTACGTTTGCATTTTCTAAAGAATGATTTTTTTCATAACGTGCCTTTAAAGTTAGAAACATTTTTCGGAGCAAAAAAAAAATGAAACGGTAACTTTTCACTTATTCGTTTATATAGTTGAGTTTTCATTTATTCTCAATTGTTTCATGCATGGGCCTCGACTATTATTCAAAAACCGAAGACTGACGGAAAGGGCCGAAAAATTGCGATTGGAAGGGTTGGAGTAAGGAATTTGCTGGTATGTGAAACCACTTTGCGATTTGGATACCAACTTAAGTCTTTTTAGAGAGAATCACACAAAAATAGTTGAATATCAGCTCTTGGTCCGTCTTAAAACAATTAAAATGTCAACTTCCTTTGAAAAATGGTTGACCCCATGTGGAAAGTTTTAATTGCGACCCCGCTTTTTTCAAAAATCCTAGATCAGCGCATGTGTTTAACACTTACCTCGGATTAACAGCACACTTATTCACTAACAACCTGCATGTAGTTGCGAAAGTTATCAATAATAAGCTACATACATTGTATCTGTATGGTGGCATATTTCTGCCACCAGATAACCTGATACCTAACTAGTTAATAAAGAGGTTAACTAGTTACGTAACTAGTTAACCTGATAACTAACTAGTTGATTAAGAGGTTAACTAGTTACGTAACTAGTTAACCTGATACCTAACTATTTAATTAAGAGGTTAACTAGTTACGTAACTAGTAAACCTGATAACTAACTAGTTAGGTATCAGGTTAACTAGTTACGTAACTAGTTAACCTGATACCTAACTAGTTAATTAAGAGGTTAACTAGTTACGTAACTAGTTAACCTCTTAATTAACTAGTTAGTTATATGGTTATCTGGTGGCCATATATTTGTCTGCAAAAGCCTGTCACTTATTCCCGTAAATTTTTTGTTATCACTGTTTCCATTCGCGAAAATAATTTAATTACGCTTAAATGTTGACACAAATACAAATGAGCCAAAAGAGGTTTCGTAGTTTCGTAGTTAAAACTAAGGCGACTTTACAGCGAAGACGTTTTTCTGTACATTATTTTCATGACATTTTAAGGCACCGGATACCGGAGTCCTTGGTGTAGAACCACCGTTTTTTATGTACAGTATTTTCATGGACTTTAAGTTATAGAAATGAGAGCAGAACATTATCTAAGAGTCTCTTTTATCATTATGTAGACAGAAAGGTCACCTGATCCGCACGACCTTGAACAGCTTTGGTTTGGAAGTTCAGCCCAAGCGTATGACTGGGATGAATGTGGGCTGGGTATATGGTATGTATAGCTCATGTTAGGAGTAACGCCGGCATACTGACGATAATCGTAGAATCTTAGAATCTGCAAGAAACAAATAAAAACAATCTTTCTAAAATGTAGTTGCACAGCATAAATATATTATTGCCTTCCTATGACGAAATAAGTGAAGATTAGTCTTACGCAATAGATAAATGCTGTTGATCTTTCTGGAAATTGAAAAGTGTCTTTGTTTTTCAATGAAAGCGATTAATTGCTTTGATTTTTTACGACATCGAACAGTTCCAGTGTTATTTTACGACAACTATAAATGACATTCTTCATTTACGGCATTTTAAATGCGGCCTAATGGCGTTATATTACAATCAGTTTTACTGTGTTTTTGAAACTTTTATTTTGTAGAAAGTTTATTCTGAATAGAACCATACAGTTTTCAAATGTCTGAAAATAATATGAAAAAGGCAAAGCCTCAAAGCGAGCTCGATGTACTAAATAGTATGTATGAAATGATCGCTCATTTTTATTTCAAATGCAGTAACGAGTGCGTGTGACGTCACACGTACTGTGTTAAATATGGCTCCGCCCCTGTCGTGAAATGAATAACGAGTTTTGAAAACGTTGATAAAACTTTGTTTATTTTATTTAACTCTATATTTTTTCAAGCGAAATAAAGATTATTTAAAGTGAAATAAATGTAAAACTTAAAACGTTTGCGACATTAAAATAGCGTACTTGATTTGTTTGTTTTGCACGTGCTGTTTGGCGCTACATTGTGACGTCACGTAAACAATACTTTAAACGTCTGTACAGCGTTAACGACTGAATAATAGATATTGGTGTTCGGATTAATTTTCTTAGTTAGACCATTTTCTTTCATTCTAGATAGTTTTCACAACAAAATTCGTCAAAAAATTTGTTTTTATTTATCAGATTTCAAACAATATGGCGCCTTCGATTTTCATTTTATCATTCGATATTTTATACACAGCTTCCGTTATTCTGGTTCCCAGTCCAATTATGGTTCCCATAGACGTGCGCGGGTGACCAGTCTACACATCCGTTTTCAGTCAGAATTCCTCAGTTTTTATCGTTTTCTTTAAATTCGAAAGGTTGCGATGTGTCCAATTCGGTACTTTGGACGAAAGTTTTCAAAACCATCACTTAGCAGGTACTCGCGTTACCGTAAAGCTCGCTTTGCGAGCAGGCCCTTCGGGCCAGCTCGTCGAGCTCGCTATTAAACGGTACAGTTCGGTAAAGCTTGGTAGTTACCAATCTGGTCTCCTCTAAATATTATGCTTTGCAATAGACCTCCGATAAAATAAGGCGACATATTGGAACTACTTTCTGTCACATGGTAAAATGGCGGTCTCCATGTGCCACATTTATTGTAAAAGTGATAAAGATATGTTTCTTTTATACAATGAAAGAAAGAATTGCAGTGACATTTTGAAATTAATTTAATAAATAATCAATTTCCCTTCTTAATCAGGCAACGTTCTCAGAATATAGGAATTGTGTTACTTTTTCACGAACGAACATTGGCTATATGGCCAGTGTCCATTGGCTCATAACCTGAACGTGAGTATCAAAAGTATACGGAAGAAGCCGATATTTAACGATTGTATACGGAAGGAGCCGATGTTTTATTAACGATTGTATATCTTACCTGTACAACAATACTTTTTTCTATTTTCCCAACAATTTCGAGTGTTTCCCCATTTTGTCTATCATTTAAGTACCGTAGCTGTATACCATACAGATTAAAGAGCGCAGATCCTGATTTCCGCATCCCGTCATTCAGTACCCGATGTCCATTAACAAGCATGCCTGATAAATATCATATTCCTGATTAAAATGGTAAAAATTTAACTGCAAAATTTATATGTCTATAGTTCTTTAAATATGTGTAATTATTTGTGAAAATTATTGTTTTAAACTAATTGACTGTCTAATATATTGCATACGTTTGACCTTGGACAGTTTAGTGTGTACAGTTAAGTTGGCATGATTAATGTAATTTCAAAGAAAAAACTCCGTTAACGACAACAGGGAGGTATCCAAAATTTATTCGTAAGGAATACAATATATTTAGAAATCACACGAGTCTTTTTACCCACTTTTTCGACTTATGTGGAGGCTTTAAAACTGACTTTTTCCCGTACCATGTATTCAACAACAAACCGCTGGCGCATACGAAAAATGAGGACCACGACCGGACCAGTTTACTTGGACACTTTGTATATGCCTATGTTTATTAGGTGAAATTTTAAAAATTAATAACCCAAAAGGAAGCGAGCAAAAGGGTCGCGATCAAAAGGGAGCGATCGTTTGTAAGTTAACTTAATAAAAACTAACTTACTAAGTGTTTAACCTCATTTGACCCCGTTGAAACGCCTCCAGCCTATAGAAAAATCGTTTACAACACAATGTTTGGTTTTATGTCAGCGTCAAACTATTATAACTGGACATTGCTCATAGGCTTGTCCAATATAGTTTCTCCGTCTATGGTCTCGTTCATTGTTCAATTAAATGTGTATTAACCTTAAGACTACTGAATCCTATTAATGTACATTTCCAATCGAACACCCTCGGCTATCATTCATAAACCGAAGACTGACGGAAAAGGCCGAAAAGTTGCGATTGGTAAATTTCATGTGTCTGACGCATGACATTTTCGACTTTACATTTTACGACAGATTGCAATGCGAAAAAAAATTATGAAAATTCGTGACGACTAGAAATAATTAAAAAGGAAAGAAAAAAAACACACGAATTTTGAGGATATTAGCATTTTGATATCAATTACCGTGTCGCATTGGCATAATGATTAGGTAGATATGTTGCTTGTCATAATATATATCTCGGCGCACTGTCAAGTCGCATCTTATTTAACTGTTGAATATTACTGTCATTTCGGGCTTTATTGTCATGTCGCATCGTATTGTTTTCTCATACAGCATATTTTGTTATATCAATCTTACTTTTTCATATTTTTTTATTATATCACATCTTACTGTTATATCGCATGTTATTGTCATGTCATGTCGCATTTTACTATTACCTCACATCTTTTTGTTAGATCTACATCGCATGTTTTCTTACATGGCATATTATTGTTATATCGCATTAATATTATAAGAATCTTTCACTGGCTGCCGGTACAGACCGGAATATCTAGCTCGAGGGTGACTGTTTACATCGGTAACGAGGCTCTGTCGAGTTTCCGCTAAACAGTTACCCAGGAGCTAGATAGTCCGGTCTGTACCGGCAGCCAGTGTTTGATTCTTTTTCTTGCATATTACATATCAATTATTTTCAAAACAGGAAATTATGAAAACTGATATTCATAACTGTAAAATGACGTCATCTTAAGAACGTAATTGATTCATTAAAGGCGTGCTGCAAGACAGGGTTTTCTAGCACCGGTGTAAACGGTAGATAATCTTGTCTGACATGCAAGGATTTGTTATGTATAATTGCATGTTATAATCATATAGCATCTTAATGTTATCTCACAGTTTTTTGTCATTTGCATATTTTAATACATCGCATATTACTGTTATATCGTATGTTATTGTCATTCGTCGACATTATTTTATGCTATACTTACTGAGCATGCAATATCTATTTGTTTGTTGGATAAATATGTCAGAACTTCCAGCCGGGATAGTGGTAACATTCGTGTAACCTGTAAATGTAAATGTTAGGAATAGAGGATATTAAATGAGTGTGGGTTCAATACTGAATTAATTGAATGAGTTGAATAAAAGTATATTATGCAAGAAGCCTTCCACCAGCATTACATTATTTGATTCAAGGAGGTCAAAATAAATTCAGTATTGAACCTACACGAATGTATTTTTTCCCTATATTTATTAAATATACAAAATCAAGACTGTAAACAGTAAAAAAGAATAAATTTTCATTGCCGCGCCTATCATGTAAGTGCGTTTACATGGCATTGCTATCTTTGTATTCCGCAAATAAAGTCACATTCAAATACATGCAACACCGAGCGGCACCGTTTTTACGGTGTCACAAAAGCGACACGGGTATGTTTGTTTGTTTGATTGATTGGGTTTTACGTCACGCCGACACAGTATAGGTCACATGTGTATGTAATAAATCCACATACAGTTGTGTAATGTATGTACACATTACATTCATTCTGTTATCAAAAAGTAAACCTGTCATCCACACAAACATTTTCAGAGATATTTTTTCAAATTATTTGATTAATTTATGAAAAATTGCTTACTGCCCGAAGAACCGTTTTCGTTGTAAGTTCCCGTCACTTTACTGCACGTGGTACCCGTGCCGTTACAAATCCCGCATTCGTCATATCTAAGTCGAGAATTGGAAAGCCAGTCACAACCAAATTCCTATGAATAGTTTGTCTGTACTTTAGTTACATACATAATATTGATAAATAATGAATAAATAGAAAGTCAATAAAATATCCGGAAAAAATATGCCCATACAGAGCGGTGATTTAACGCAATGCGCAAATACTGAATACATCGTTTCATTCAAAGTGTCTAAATTAAAAAAAACACACGCACACAAAAATACCAAATATTGTAAAATGTAATGTCGACTAGCCTCGTCTGCTACATTGGAACAAAAATACACACGAATAAATCATTACATCGCATGTTTGTAACGTCGATTTTCATTGGATAATTGCAACAGTTATACGGGTGTAACAAAAATATCTTACTGAAAGGAAGCAAAATTGCATCGTTATAAATCTTCTCTTTTTTCTTTAAGTGACATTATGCCAATTAAAGGGTATACAGTGAGTGAGCTGATGAAAGTTAAAATATGTTTTTATATTGCCATAGTTCCTTTTAATTTAATAATTCACTTCACATAAACAATAAACAAACCCCGGATAGAAAGGGATTTTCTGTAAATATCAATTGAAACTTACCTGAAACGGTTAGTTTATAAAAAGAGTGGGGCATTCTTTTCATATTTTTAAACATTTTCCAAAATAAACTGTTGGTCAAACACCATTTTAATAGTCAATCTTTTGAAATAAAATATCAATTCAACTTAACTTGACTGTGAAAATATGAGCGTAATGTCACTTTAATAAAGGAAAAAAATATGTCAGGTTATATACTGTTTATAAATAAAAAAAAAATAAGGCAGTGTTAAGGCGAAACGGTTGTTTGCTATCCATAAACTTACTATTGTCTGTATTTTGTTATAATTGAGCCGAACAATAACAAAACCAACATAGTGCGTTTGCGACAAGCATGGATCCAGACCAGCCTGCGCATCATCGCAGTCTGATCAGGATCAATGCTGTTCGCTATTTGTTATATGGTTTGTAGGTCCTGATCAGACTCCGCGGATCCACCGGCTAGTCTGGATCCATGCTGGTCGCATACGTACTCTGTTGGTTTTGTCATGACGCGGCTCACATGGTTTAAAACTTCTATGTAATTAATAAGTGTTTATACCTGACATTTTCCCTGTACACATCTAGAATATGGTACAGACTTTTTCAACAAACACTCTGTGCCATCCAAATAATTTTTTGTTGACAGCATTATACCTCTGTCACTTTGGCAACTGATATTACAACTCAAATCACCTTAAATGAATGAATGAATGAATGAATGAATAAATGAATGAATGAATGAATAAAATAGTTAAACAAGCAAACAAACAACAAACAAACAAATAAATAAAAATATAAATAAACGAATGAATAAATAAATTAATAAATAAAAGATAATTTCGAGTATAAATAAATACATATCAATTTATTAATTAATTAACAATTTAATTCAACTTAATTTTAATCACAAAAGAATGTTATTAATTAATTAATTAAAGAAATAACTTTATAAAATGTTTTGTATGGTTATTCATCAACTGCATGTTTGCTATTGTTCTGCAAATATATTTATTTTCCGTGATATTTATGCCCCCACAATGTGGGAGCATATAGCGTTGCACTTGTCCGTCCATATGTCCGTCTGTAGGTCTGTCCGTACTTTCCAAAATATTGTGAACGCAACTCCTCTTAAACCGGATGGCAGATTTTGCTTAAACTTCCAGGGATGAACAACCTTAATGTGTAGATGGCAGTAAAGGAAAGAATTTTTGCTGCGACCAAATTTAACAGAATTATGGCCCTTTGTTGATTTTTTTCACTATATACTATGTAGAAATTTTGTGAACGCAACTCCTCTTAAACCGGATGGCAGATTTTGCTTAAACTTTCAGGGATTAACAACCTTAATGTGTAGATGATAGTAAAGGAAGGAATTTTTGCTGCGACCAAATTTAATTGAATAATGGCCCTTTGTTGATTTTTTCACTATATACTTTGTAGAAATATTGTGAACGCAACTCCTCTTAAACCGGATGGCAGATTTTGCTTAAACATTCAGGGATTAACAACCTTTATGTGAAGATGGCAGTAAAGGAAGGAATTTATGCTGCGACCAAATTTAACAGAATTATGGCCCTTTGTTGATTTTTTCACTATATACTTTGTAGAAAGTTTTTGACCGCAACTCCTATAAACCGAATGGCAGATTTTGCTTAAACTTCCAGGGATTAACAACCTTAATGTGTAAATGGCAGTAAAGGAAGGAATTTTTGCTGCGACCAAATTTAAGAGAATTATGGCCCTTTGTTGATTTTTTCACTGTATACTATGTAGAAATTTTGTGAACGCAACTCCTCTTAAACCAGATTGCAGATTTTGCTTAAACTTCCAGGGATTAACAACCTTAATGTGTAGATGATAGTAAAGGAAGGAATTTTTGCTGTGACCAAATTTAACAGAATTATGGCCCTTTTTTGATTCTAGTTTTCAACTTGTGGCACATGTAGTCCAAAAATATTTGACCTAGAAACATAAGATTGACAGATCAGTGGTGTGTGGGGGCATCCGTGTCCTATGGACACATTTCTATTTTTCAAATAGTATACAGGTAATATGGGCGAGCAGGAATAGTTGTTTGTTATATATCTGTTTGCACCTGGCCATATAACATGTAAGGTGCTTTAGATTGATAACCAAATATATCTACCTACACGGCTTCTGTAATTTTCAAAATAAATCTTTATTTTCCTAGAAAGAAAATTAATAGTATTAAAAAACCGGTATTTTGACACGTAATGTCAACATATCAATGGGTGTTTGATGTACATAGGTAACGCCCAACAGCAGCTGCTCGGGTTATATAACAAACAACCGTTTAAAAAATTGGTCATATAACCTGTCAAAACTTTACTACATATAATTGTACCTATATCTCCAAAGGCAGGAATAGGATTGCGTAAAATTGCGCTTGACTTGGAACACTGAAGTAATCTGTAGTCAGAGCTGCATTCCTGAAAAATAAAACTTATTAATTTATTGCATAAATCATTATAATAGTTCACTTTTGTAACGCCGCCTTTCTTTGGATAATCGTGACGTTTATATAGTCTATATACACGGCTAATGTCAGTTAATGAAATAAATCTTGTTTTTCTTTAGATGAAGTTCTAGACCAGTAAAAAAACATCCAATCTGTCTAAACACGTCACTAACAGTGTAAGCTATCTATTTATGTTTACTGATGTTAACACAATATTAAAACATACAAATGTGAAGAACAATATGTTCAAAGCAACAAAATATGCAAAGCATATTTTAATAATCCGAAATCCAGGAATGCAAGTTACCACGAAAATGCAAGACGCCAGTGCATGAAACTTTTTCCTTTATTAGTCCATTATAAGTAGCTCAAATAAATGAAAGTAGATATTTTGTTGCAATTAGTTCGAGACAAGATTGGGCGAGAGTTTACGTTTACTGACCTCTTAATTCACTGTATTATAAAAACATATTGATAACTAATAAACCTCTTAATCCGAAGTTTGACGGAAAGAACCGGAGAGTTTCACTGACACCTATTGTGAATAATTTGTGTCGTTTACAACCATCACGCTTTTGTGGACCAATAGGCGAAAGTATTTAAAAGATGACACTGCGTGAGTCACTGGGTCAAGACTCAATCATCTTTCCCTTAAAGTACCCTTTCTTTTTTTTGTCAAACAAATTAACATGTTTTATTTTTACCTGAATGTTGCAAATCTTTTCTGTCGTAGAAAGTCCAAGACATTCATTTCCTCCATATTGTGGTCTGTAAAGTCAGTAAAAGTTGTTGAAATAGAATGAGTGCATAACATGCTTATTATATATCACATACAATTACCAGTCAACGCACTTCCGTTGCGTAAAAACATGTCGGCTGCGAAACCCTGTAGTATTTTATATATACAAAATTATATTTTTTTTTATTTTAAAAAGGTTGTGAGCTTTGAATCCTAGTGCCATTGTTATAGACCAAAGTTCTATAATGCATGTAGATGTACAAATGTAGTTATTATAAAAAAGGGAGATAAATACGGTGGACTGTTGCAAAATCTCCTCTTAATCTGAACTCCGCCGCCACACGTCCTACTACAGGCAGTATACTCCGCTTCCCAACTTGACCAGCTACCATCTACCGGAGCTAGCGACCGGTGTTTCCTATCTATAGGCACACACTCGCCCCGTATACACCACTGTGCAGACAGGAATAATTGATTAACAGATTTACAAACAATTGCTAATTATCATTCCCATTAAAGATTAATCACTTCTAAAATTTAAAGTCATTTATAAACACATTTCCACTGAGGTCAAAAAGCCTACTGAACATTATTTATGAATACGCATTACAATCATCACTATGCATACATGCATGTATTAATGAATAATCATAAAAATCATAAACAGTCATTATTATAAAAAAAGAAATACTCACTAGATTCACTTATACTTATAAGTACTCATTAAATATCATAAATACTCTTTAATAACAAATCATAAATAACCATGAATAGTCAAAACTCATAAATATTCATCGGGTTATCATACATACCATTCTGGTGTTGTTACAATCCGTCCCGTCTAACAAAGGTGAAGAAAAAACAAGAGCGTCGCTGCCTTCATATTTGCATTTCAAGTTCATGCAAGGGTCGTCTTTCTAATAAAAAAACATATAAAACAATAATGAGTGGAAGCCAAGATATCTAAACTTCCTCGAACATTGCAAATCAAACAAGCCTGTTTACCCTTTACAGACTGATAAGAGATGATCACTGCGTAAGAAACACGTTACAGGAGCAGTATCTTAAAGGGAAATGCCACCAGAAAAAACAAGTAAATGACAACATTATTTTAGTTATAAACTTAAATAGATTTAAATGTCCAAAGAAAATAATGATTGCAGTATATTTTAATTACAGACCAGTATCAATGAAAATTTAGTTCAGAGAAAAGACACTTACATTATAAGTTGATCTATAAAGCATAAAGCTATTATTAGTACGCATCTGGCACTGTTGATCGGCGGTATATAACGTTCCGGGTAACGGAAATTCAATTCTGTTCTGGGAAAATCCGCTCGGTTTATTGTCCAAACATTTAAGGCGGTTAGACCTGAAATATACAGTTTTATGGTAAGAATGATTAAACATATAGCATATAACATGCTTACATTTTACTTGATGATAATGTCAAGAACTAATGACTCGACGAAGGGTTGTTTATGGGACTTTGAGGGTAAGGTTATAGCTTTTTAGCTTTTACTTGTGTAAGAAAACTCGTCCACTCAGACACAAGCGGTGCCTGGTGCCTGAGCAGAACAATTGACCTGCCGGGTGATAGCTTGAAAGCATTTTCAAATGAAAGAACGGAATTTGAACACGTAGCGGTAAAGGACAAGTAGGTCGCCGTCATCCACCATGATGGCTCAACAAAACATTCAAACAGACTATTATATGTATATGTGCATATCAATAATAATTCTTCGCTGCTAACAAACAATATGTTGGTACAGTACATGCATTATTTTTTCTATTGAAAAATCGATGGACATATTGAAGCATGTAACAAATTTGTGGACGAGGGGCGTCCACTTTACGTGGTAAATAACGACATTTACACCGAAATGACCTAAACAATTAGGGTTAATTTGTTTTCTCATAGTCCACCATAACTTACAAGTTTAGGACGGTTGATTATGTGTTTTACTTACACGCCTTGCGTGATTTCGTCGGCTTACTCTTAAAATGTCCTAACTGCCAAAATGCTATTTTGAGAAAAACGACTTTAAACATTTTGCATCTTAATATTTTTTTCCACGTGACCCCACTGAATTGAAATTTTTCACACATCTATATTTAGGATTTTAATGCGCAAAAAAAGTGTTTATTTTTCTTTCTGGAGAAAGACTGAGAGTAAATATGAAAAAAACAAATTTGAGATAGAGCAAAAGGTCAAAATATTTCTTAAAAAGTCACTCTAAAAGTGCGTCATTGGAGATAGAGCAAAGTAATGCCAAAATTAAACGAAGGAGCCAGAGATACGATACTTTAATGGTAGAAATTATTACATACACAGGCTGTTTTAACATTTAAATTGCACTTATTATGCTTGTCCGTATGTGCAATTAGATTTTATTGTAAATCATTACAAACCGTCGCAATAATTTGTCAACGCAAATGAGCGACTGGATGTTTCTTTGTATAATAGTATAAAACTTGCTTTATAAGTTATGGGAAAATAAATTCAGAAAACCGACCTAAACGTAACGTTATGCATCAAACCTAAAGTGTTAAGACTTTATGATATTGGTCCCCAGATATTTAGTCACAACAAGTTCAACAATTTATAACTGTTTATCATAACTTTTGTATCATTAATAAATATGACTTCTTATCATGACAAATAGAAATTGATATCTTAAACATAAATACGTACTGATCGTAAGTTGCGTAACAAAGAAACATATCTTAATATCTTTATATTTGCATATACAGCATGTTACTTTGCAAAATCTCAATCTGTATGTATTAAAATAATTATACAACTGACATTAATGCAAAATGTCTGTATTAAACAAAAACATAAAACAGCGTCTCGTCATACCGTGAACAAAAAATCATGAAAGATTTAATTTTTCTATTATCTAACATTTTTTCAATGGACTAAGGTTAACATTATTAAAATGTTATTTACTTTCTTTAACAATGTAAGAAAACCTGTTGCCAAGGTACTTCATCAAATTTGCCGTGTAGTAGTCATTAATATTAAACGTAAATCAGCTATTCATGTGGCTTGCAGTTTTAAACATAAATTAATGCATCAATAACATGATTCCAAAGTACACATCAAAAAAGAAAATATATTCAAATGTCTCTTCATAACATTGAGTTTAGTAAATTTCTCAAACATAATATTAATCACCTGTAGATGTAGATGAGTATATGATAAATTGTGTTATAGAATAATGACATGATCAAATTCCTATGATGTCTGTTTACGTAATACTATAGCACTTGCACTTATAAAGGTTTATATTTTGCACAGACTTTTCATGAACATGCGATCCTCTGTCGGTATAAATCGTAGCATGGTTTCTGTATTTTTTTCTTGTCATCAGACAAACCCTTTCCACATTTTAGAATTTTAGGCAAAGGAAGTAGGTCTGCTTTAAAAGATAACCTTGTTGTCCTTAGAATTGTCGCCTCTGTGTACTGGACATCAAATGACTCTTTAAAAACACTTGAAACGGCAATCCGTTCACATATTTCAATGCTTTAACTCTTGTTAATGGGACAGAGTTTAATGTGAATTTCTCAGCAACCGCTCGATAGTCAAAAATAACGTCATTTTTAGTTGTATGATTACGGTTTTATCCGGACGGACTTGATTATGCTTCGAGAAGTAAATTTCAGAAACTTTCAGCTTTTTCTCTGATGTGAGTGAATGTTATCAATTTCCTGAATACTGGAATGTCGACGAGTACAAAATTTCTGAACAATTTCAACCACTTCAGGATGATTTTGTTGAAATAGTTATAAAGCAGTGGTCATCATGCTGTTCCGGTTTTGTGGTACACAACTATCAGACCACAACGTTATTTTCTTAACATGAGCATGAGCCTTCAAATCGTTTTCTAAAATAACAGTTACAGCACTAGCAAGTTCATTAGATCCTCGTCCAGCGACTTGTTCATTCCATTTAACATTATATCCAACTTTGTCCAGAGAGCAGTGACACAATAGGATAATCAATCTCAAAATCACACCAAAGTCTTGACAATTGCTTATCAAATCGTTAAATTTTCTACAAACTTTGTTCACTTTTGTCAACAGATCTTGAATGCCGATATAGCCCAAAATGTGTACAAGGACGCCGTCGGGCAACACCACGAGGTTAACCTATAATGATATTTTAATTTAAGTAGATTATAATATCAATGATTTTAGCATAGCTCACGATAAAAATGAAAAGGTGAACTTTATTTTACTTATTTATGTATCCGAAATATTGTTTATCCGAATTACATTTACTAGGTTTTGCAAAACTTCTTAAAATTCTGAGATTACAGTGCATTCGACGTTAAAAAAGCAAATTGCAGTTACACGTACAGAGATTTTAGTTTAATATACTCACATATTATTTCTTTATCTTGCTTGGAAACACAATCAATGGCATTACAAAAAATATTGGCAAGAAAATTCTCTACCGGAAGTTTTGACTTAGCGCACTATCATTGCGAAAACGACCAAAGTCACCTGACCATCAGTTTGTGTTTTGATTGGCTTATTTCAGGTTTCACTATAAAATTGTCCTAAGTAACGTACATACCCTACTATAAGGATAAAACAATCATGCGAAATGTGGACATAGAGCAAAGTTCATACTCGATAACTCCGTTTCTAGGTCATCATAACCTTGAACCCAAAGCTTAAAAGATAGAGCAATGTAAGATAAAAAGAATGGTATATTTATCTCAAATTTTGCAAAAATGGACATAGGACACTTTAAGAGTTAGGCGACGATTTGTTTGGAATGCGGTATAAATAAAAAAAAACACGTTATTCTTTCAGTAAAAGTAAAATAAAAGACGTTTAAGGTGACAACGGAGTCAATTATCACTGAAAATACCTAAAATGAGATTTTTTGCTTAGTAGATTATCAACCTTTTCTGAACACATTCGTAATTTAAATTTGGAAGCAGTTAGTCCAAAAATTGGTTTTTTTAAACGTTTTAAAACGGTACCTGTACCATTGTTATCTACTATTCGCGTAACCTGTCAATTATCGATAACGCTCCGCCCCCTATTGAGGCATCAATGAGGGAAATCGGTAGTTCCATATATCCGTGAATTACCGGTCCATACTGCTCGTAATTCATGTATCGTACAAATACCGTACATCATTTATGCATATTGTCTACCTTTTATTTGTCATTTTTTATAAAATAAGAAATTGTCGGCCAATGTACGTAACATAATGTATGAAACATAAATAATTAAGCATAGCGGCAAATCGCACGACCACAGGGTTGATTAAAAATATAGTTGCTAAAATATCCATAATGTGTGAAAATAATTTGTCTGTCCCGTTAATCTGATAGATATTACATTGAGTTTATGGACTTTTGTACGGATTCAACGGTTTGCTTTACATTCATCCTCGTTTTCTAACAATGTCAAGTAAAACAACAACAAAAACAGACAACATTTTTTATGCGAATGCCTATATGACTTGTGGTACGGTGTCCCTGACAAATTTCTAACCATTTTAGATTGTTTAAGGATGATTATTTCTTTATGAATCAATAAAAAAAGATATTAAAATATATATTATCAGTGAATGCTTTGAATAAATTGTTCGCCAGTAAATCGAACACACTTCTAATAAACCTGGGACAAAGTATGGAATTTATTGTATATCCCAGTAGAAACTGGATATCTATACCGTGCATAGATGATTTTCATGATAATAGAAGTCAAGAAGATCAGATCATAATGATCGAATGATACCTTTAATTTCTATTAAAATATGTGAAGCATTTATATCAATTTGGAGGAAAAAAATATATAATATCCCGTTCTTATTTGTACATCTACCATGGCCTTTAAAATACCGTCAGAAGCTCAGTTTTTTTGTTATTTTAATTTATATTTTGACGGAATTTCATACACGAATACACAGACAGAGTGACACTGGTATAATATAATAATAATGCTGACGAACCTTCAAATTAAAGTGAAACAATTAAATACCCCGCTAGCGGTGCGCAAATACGTTCCATTTCCCCCCACCGAGTGCCTCAAATTTTACCGAATGTCACGTGACATGTGCGACCGATACCAGACGGACAGTAAATCACGTTAAGATTTGAAGAAATTTCTGTTATAAACTGATATTAATCAGCAACTTTTTAATTGGTCAGATGTCACTGGGTCATTAAATGTTGTTTGTAACCGCAACCTGTGACCCTCTCTGGTGCGATATTTGTGTATTATGCAATTATTTAGCGTGAAACGTAGGGGTCCGAGAGAGAACAGCCGATTTATGACACTTCGTTTGATGCGGGTCGGCATTTTTTTTCAAATATGTTATTTTTTATGATGATCAGCGACATTTAGTGCACAAATATTAAATAAATAACAATTATTACTAAAATAAGTTGGTTTAAATGACATTTATGTGAGTACCACGGAAAGTGTCTGTTGTCACCTTAACAAACATGTGTGTTAAGGAAAAATAGTTTTATGTAGTCGCCACTGGCAACTACGAATACATACGAAAGAGATCGTTGAAGTTCCGATGCGCTGTGACTGGACCAAGTGAATGCCTCGTTCCCACTCCATCCACCAGCCGACATTATTCCTACACTAGTGTTGGAATCGTCATGCGTCATTCCCAATCTAACCAAGAATAAGAATATGCGACATCAGTAATCAAAACTTGATACAGAAATCTTAACATGAATAAGAATATGCGACACCGTAATAGGAAGTGCGTCATGACAAATCTTAACATGAATAAGAATATGCGACACCCGTAACAGAAAGTGCGTCATCAGAAATCTTAATATATAAATCTTTATAAAATTTCCAACAGTTTTGTTCGCCCTTTAGAGTAAATTAACAAAAAAATTACCCGATGTGAATTGATGTTACATTAAAATGACGTAATGAGTTGAGAACAAGTTAGATAAAAATAAAACAGTGAATTATATCAAATCTGACAACGTGCTTGGTAAAATTCATTTACTAGTTTATTTCCCTGTTTTGAACTTACAAATGGCCGATTTCGTGAGCGAGTGTGATCCCCATTATGGGCCCCTCATCCTCAACTATAGCACACTTCGTATTTTTATCACACATTTTGTTTAAGTGGGCCAATCCATTGATACCTTTGTTACCATTTTCATCTTCAAGGTCAAGTCTGAAACATAGATAGGTTATACGTAGTGTGGTCTCTCAAACGAACATAGATGGGTTAAATTAAGAGTGGTCGCTGTAGACGAGTGGTTGAGATTGTTGACTCTGAAACTTTACCGTTTCGTATCCTGCTAGGGACTTTTGATAAATGAAACAAGATATACGGCTACGTGGGTGGAAAACCAGGGGTTATCTGCGGTTCACATGCATGCCGGGCATCAGAGGTCCTGCTGTTAAGTGGTTCTAATATGACTTTCAGTGCAAAATGTCAAGCGACCAAAGAGGCTGATTTGAACAAACTATTTACATTTATTATTTGAACATGTTAAAAATGAGAACTTAAAGAATGAAAATGGTATCCAAGTTATGTCGTTGAGCAGCTTTATCATTTATATGAAGAATGTATCGATTTCTACCATTTGACGAATAAAAACTGACGCTTGGTTTATATATGATTAAAAGAGACTTTAAAGGCACATTAAGCCTCAGAAATCAATATTTGTTTATTCTTTAGAAATGCCAAACATCTGTTTTGTTAATAATGCATTGACAATGGATTTTAGAGCATTTAAGAACTGAAGAAAGTAAGAATGAACGTGCAGTAATGTGTTGCAAAGGTAGCAAAATGTTAACAAAGTAGTATTTTGACTTCCATACAAAATACTAATTCACTACAATTCTACCAATTGCCAACAGAGCAATGTGTCTTAAAAGGAATTTGTGAGACCGGACGTGATGTAATATCTTGCCAGTAAGCAATTTTTTTCAGAGACCTTGTCTTTTAGGATTGTCTGATGTGGTTAAATACAATTGAAATGACCTATATTCCATACTGGTTCCATAGTGTAATGGTTTAATAGCACTAAGAATTCTGAATCCTGCGATCCGAGTTCAAATCTAAAGTTTGGTTAAGCAATGATTTGACATACAGTATGCGCCATTATTTATATCACATAAATTGGATGTACAAACACAATGCTCAGTCCCTATACGGAACAAACAATTATTTTGCCTGAACAGATAGATGAACAGATAGATGTTTACTTTGTTATGTACATTTATAAATTATACCACAACATTTTTAAAGCGCCACCTACCTTGTTAAGAGGACGCTACTGTCTACTTGTTTAGTTGCAAGTCCTGACTGCCAATCGCAGAATGTCTTCAAAGTTTTGTTTGCATTTTCTGTCAGCTCCGAAGCAAATTCCTTTAACATAATTTTACGAATAGAAAGAGATTGCATGTATATATATATAGTGTATGACGTTATCAATAGAAAATATGAAAATCTGAAAGTGAATTTTACTGGACGCAGACTGGCAAGTATTTCTAAAAAATTGGTAAAATGAAACAACTTACTCGTTCCAGGTACCTTAACTAATTGTCCTTTCTTTTGTTGCTTTTTGGCAATTAGAACATTTATAGTGATTAAGTATTTTGTATGGAAGTTAAAATACTACTTTATTTACTTTTTGCTCCTTTTTTGTTTAAACCCTTGTAAAACTCAGGTTTATCATTTCTTAAGAGCTAAATATTTATTCATTTTGAGGCCTTATATGTCTTTAAAGAATGGTATCATTATGATATAAGAATAGCAATGAAATACTATGATATCTTGATATACAACACTTACGTTATATGTTTCTATGACATGAAGCTCTGAGAGTGTCAGATATATATTTGTTCCTATACTTGGATGTGTGTACAACTTGCTAGCCTGAAAATATACAAGTAATGCTTAGAGCTGCAATATATTTGTATATCTCCCTTAGATATCTACACTATATATGTATATCTCCCTTTAATACCTACAATAAATTTGTATATCTCCCTTTAACACATACAATATATTTGTATATCTTCCTTTAATATCTACAATATATTATGTTTATCTCCCTTAAATACAAACAATATATTTGTAAAGCTCCCTTTAACACCTACAATATATCTGTATATCTTTTTACACATATATTTGTATGTTTCCCTTGAATACCTACACTATATTGGTATATCTCCCTATAACTCATACAATATATTTGTATGTTTCCCTTGAATACCTACACTATATTGGCATATCTCCTACAATATATTTGTATATCTTCCTTTAACTCCTACAATATATTTGTATGTATTCCTTTAACTCCTACAATATATTTGTATATTTCCCTTTAACTCCTACAATATGTTTGTATATTTCTCTTTAACTCCTCCAATATTTTTGTATGTCTTTCTTTAACGCCTACAATATATTTGTATGTCTTCCTTTAACTCCTACAATATATTTGTATATTTCCCTTTAACTCTTACAATATATTTGTATATTTCCCTTTAACTCCTACAATATATTTGTATGTCTTCCTTTAACTTCTCCAATATATTTGTATGTCTCCCTTTAACTCCTACAATATACATGTATTTGTATATTTCCCTTTAACTCCTACAATATATTTGTTTGTCTTCCTTTAACTCCTACAATATATTTGTATGTCTCCCTTTAAGTCCTTAAATATATTTGTATATCTCCCTTTAACTCCTACAATTTATTTGTATATCTCCCTTTAACACCTACAATAACTTACAATATTGAAGGCCATTAGAGTATATGCTATAGCGTTTCCACGTGATCTGTGATAAAGGTACATTGTTGGATCCACAACAACACGTGTCTCGATGTAGCGCGCGAGAGTAGAGCGTTTCTTTCTTCCATATACCACGTGCAGCTCATTATCCGGTACTGAGTCTGAAAAAATGACTATTGCATGTATAACGCTGCAGTTATGTTTTTATTTGCCCAACTGTCATTGAAAATTAATCGAACTTAAAATGAGTTATATATTTTAAAAATTTGATAGATTTTTTGAAAGTAATACCAATTTAGAAACAAATTAATATATTTTTACAGAAGCAATGTAGATAAAAGCTTTAATGTACAAGGGCAACATAGTTTTCGGTAGAGATATTGGCCTGATGGCAAATTAATCAGCCAAATGTAAAGGTTTTGGCCAGGTGACAAATCCAGCAGCCAACAGTAGAGATACTGGCCTGATGGCAAATCCAGCAGTCAATCGTAAAGGTACTGGTCTAGTGACAAATCAAGCAGTCAACGGTAGAGATATGGGCATGATGGCAAATGCAGCAGTCAATTGTAAAGGTATGGGCCGGATGGCAAATCCAGCAGTCAATTGTAAAGGTATGGGCCGGATGGCAAATCCAGCAGTTAATTGTAAAGGTATGGGCCGGATGGGAAATCCAGCAGTCAATTGTAAAGGTATGGGCATGATGGGAAATCCAGCAGTCAATTGTAAAGGTATGGGCATGGTGGCAAATCCAGCAGTCAATTGTAAAGGTATGGGCCGGATGGCAAATCCAGCAGTCAATTGTAAAGGTATGGGCCGGATGGCAAATCCAGCAGTCAATTGTAAAGGTATGGGCCGGATGGCAAATCCAGCAGCCAATTGAAGAGGTATTGGCCTAGTGACAAATCAAGCAGCCAACAGTAGCGAAATTGGCCTGACGTCAAAAATAATCAGACTGGCTTGGCTTTGTAATGGTAACCTTGATAAGCTACTTTAGCCGTTGTTTAAATATATATTACATAAACATGATCATTATGTTGTTATGGTACAGTATCACGAAAAACTTAAATACTGTATGTCCGTATTAAAATTATGTAAATTATGCAAAATAACATTAGGAAAAAATTAAAAATTTTTAGTTGTCTACATTTTAGCTCAGCGTTTTCCTATGGGTTTTTTTTTTTTTTGTTGTTGTTGTTTTCTTTCTTTTCTTTTCTTTTTAATGCGGCTGACTTGGTCCTTTAAATCCGTACAATCTATAAATACGATTAACATACCAGACAAATCATTTATTGGACAAATCTGTTTATCTCCTTGGAAAACGATATACTAAATGCACATGGCCCTCATTTCCCTCCATAGATTCGCTTGTTTTGCGCAGGCGCAATGAGCAGACTCGATTTTCAAAGTTTTATAAACCCCGTTCTGAAAAAAATATTAAAAAAAACTTTCAAGGAAGAGCATAAAAAATTTTCCCTTGTATATATTTTTAATTTTCATCCTTTACCTCCCCCCAACTTTTAAAATTTTTTAAGGGGATGTTTAATAAAAGATATTTAAAATGACAAATTTAAAATTGAAAGATATAATTTTCCCTTAACAATAAGGAAATAAGGGGTAGATTTTTTTTTTTATTACCCTAGTTTTTTGTAAATTTTAAATTTTTCCCAAATTGGGCCGGGATTTATTTTTTTACTGTTAATAAAAAGGTGTAAACGGATTTAAAAAAATTTGAAACTTTGGTAACAGATTTTTTAATCATTTAAAAAATCGGGGCCCGGGGCCCCTTTTTTTAAAAGAAATGAAATAAAGGGCCCCCATTTTTATCAAAACATTCTTTAATTTTCGACCTTTAGGGGCCCTAGGGATCCCCAATAAACTAAAATCTCATAAAATTTATTATTTCACCCTTGATTTTTTCGGGAATTACAATACTTTTTGTTGAATTAATAAAAAAATTTGAAAACCGTTTTAAAACGGAAGAAAAATTGTGAATGTTAAAAATTTTTGGGGTTAAACTGGAAAAAGAAAAGAGGAATTTGAAGAAAATTTTTTAACAAAAAGGAAATCCTTTAAAAATTTAATTATTTAAAAACGTTAGAAATAATTGAAGAATTTGGTTTGAAAAAGGAACCTTTTTAAATTTTATTTTTTTTTTAAAAATTGCAACTTGTCAAAAAAACCAAAAATTGGGGGAAAAATATTCTGGAAACAAAAAAAAATAAAATTTTCAAGCCCCAAAACCCTTATAAAGGGTTTTAAGTGTTTTTTCTAAATAAAAAAAAAAAACGGGGTTATTGTATGTTATTTGACTAGCTCTACGCGACAAAGTAGTTCTTCCCGAGTAAATCGGTTCTAATCTACACATCAACAAATAAGTTCCCTGCGACAAATTAGTTCCATGTAACAAAAACAATATAGTATTCTACTATCATTTCTACCGACACATAAAAAGCGAAACAAAGTGAGATCGACATGAGTAAATAGCTCTTTGCAATAAACTTAGTTTCATGTTTCCCCCTAAACTTGCAATAAAGACTGACTATTTTCCTCTGTTTTCATTCCGAAAAGTGAAATGATCAAAGTAACAATTGATGTGAAAAAATATAAAGAACTTACAAGACCGTAGCAAACATTTGCGGCCACCCAAGAGTCCTGATGAGTATCACTATGACCCGTGTAATAACAGTCTACGCTCTCTCTCGTACATGGGTATATGTCTTTCTTTCCATTAGATAAATATCTATGTACAAGACAACCTTTACATGTAAAAAAAAACCCGGAAATTTAACAGGTTTTTTAGAAAAAATTTAAAGACTTTTTCCCCCAATAAAAATTTTCTACGCAGACTTTGGTTGAAAGATAAATTTAAACCGTGAAGTTAAAAGCCCCCGGGTCTGTAAAACAAAGGCAATAAAAATTTTTCAAATGGTCAAATTTTTATTAAAGAAAATTTAAATCTACCATTTAAAATTAGTTCAACGCGTCAAATTTAGTTATAAAAGACAAAAATTACAATTTAAAAAAACTAAACTACCACAAAATCATTTTGTGCAAAAAATTGGGCCCCACCCCTTTAAAATTTATTTAAAGAATTTCCAAAAACATATTACAATGTAGAACTACGAACAAAATCAGTGTTGTGCAACAAAATAGTCTGTAGACGCGTCAAATTAGTTACAAGACACATTACAATGTTGTGCTTCAAAAAATGAGTGCTTGCAACAAATTAGTTATACGCGACAAATTAGTTGTACGAGACAAATTACAATGTAGACCTACGCACAAAATCATTGTTGTGCAACAAATGAGTCATACGCGTAAAATAAGTCGTAAAAGACCATTTACAGCGTAGGTCTACGCATAAAGGCAGTATTGCACAACAAATTAGTTCTCAATGACAAAGCACAATGTACATATACTATATAAAATAACTAAATAGTTCTACTTTTACGGACAAACTGTACGATAGAGTTGAACAAATGGGGACAATTTCCCGCCCTTATTAACTATACTGAAATTTTTTGACAAAGAAAACGTTTATGTTTTTCCAATGAAGCTGTCTCATTCATTATTCATTTTCACTCACGAATAAAGATTTGTGTCTATATTCATACACAAAACAGAAATTACCGAGTGAGACTAAATAAAAGTTTGGATCCCCCAACAAAAAATCCCCGTATTCCGGGTTTAAAAATACCGGAAAAGGGCCCCTTGAATGATAAAATCAAAAAATTTTTCCTTTTAAAACCAAGGGAAATAAAATTTTAAAAAGGTTTTAATTTCCCATTTTTTCCACCGATTTTATGCATGTTTAATGAATGAAAAATGCAAAAAAAGTTGGCTGCAAAGCGCCCTTAACGAAACTGCCCAATTGTTTTGATTTAATCCAAATTACCTTGGTGTAAATTAAAATTTTTGTTTGGACGTAATTTTATCAAAAACGTTTTCCTTTGTTTAACTTTTACGGGTTTAGGACCCCTTTTTGCGGGACGTTTAGGGGAAATGACGAAAATTTGTGTTTTTAGAATTTTAAACAGAAAGCTACCCACCCAGCACTAAAAATTTAAATAATATTCTTTAAAGCGGGTATTCAAAAGCAGTGTTCCTCAATAAGTATGCATCAATGAGTATGCCGCAATCAAAATGCCTCAATTAGTATGCCTCAATAAGTATACATCAAAAAGAATGTTTCAATCAGTATGCATAAAAAAATGTTTCAATCAGTATGCATCAAAAAGAATGTTTCAATCAGTATGCATCAAAAAAAATGTTTCAATCAGTATGCATCAAAAAGAATGTTTCAATCAGTATGCATCAAAAAGAATGTTTCAATCAGTATGCATCAAAAAGAATGTTTCAATCAGTATGCATCAAAAAGAATGTTTCAATCAGTATGCATCAAAAAGAATGTTTCAATCAGTATGCATCACGCAGAAAGCCTCAATCAGTATGCATCACGCAGAAAGCCTCAATCAGTATATATCAAGCAGTATGCCTCAATTAGTATGCTTTAATTAGTATCCCACAATAAATATGCTTCAAACAGGTTGCCTCAATCAGCATCCCTAAGGTAATGTGCCTCAAACGAAAGTTAATTTCTATGAATTTAAAGCATTCGTAATAGAAAATAATTGTCGAATTAAAAAACTATAGCTATTTATTTTTTAGCCAGCTGTACCAATGTTACGAGTTTAGACCTATGAAACCAGTACTGATTCTAAAGTTGTTTCTAAAAATGATGAATGGTTTTGTTCAGAATTAATGATGAACAAGTATTACTTTTCTCAGGTCAAAGAAAATGTGTGCAAAATTAGTCACATATTCGACCCTGTTCGGGATTACATTCCGTGCCAGAATTAATTTCAAATAATATTTGACATAAAACATGCCATCGATATATCATCGATGAGAAATACTAATGCATTTCTTATGATATAATAATTAAATCCTTGATTTATTTTTTCTTAAGTATCCATTTTTTAAATTTGATTCTTTATCGGGGCAGAAATCGACTGCAGCAAGAAGAGGACATCTTACGTGTGTACTTTTCATTACTGATGTTTTTCTCTTACTTCTTTCGTAGATTTCGAAAAAATACTAGCACAAGAACAATATTTATCACATACCCGTGCCGCTTATGCGACTCCGTAAAGAATTGAATTGCACGCCTATGCACATGCATATATTTGACATGACGTCATTTGCGTTATACAAAACATAGTGTTGAGGCGCGCTAAATTTAGTACAATATCAAATTATTGTTCAATCTTATTTCAAACATAAAATTCTACATGACAGGAAAAAAAGTATATATATAGATATTTACCTTTGTCGGTGTCAGTAATGTAAGGAAAAGGAGACGTTGATTGTAGATTTTCTTGACTAAGCGATACACGCTTACACTAAAATAAAAAAGGGAAGAAAAAAAATCACTATTGCGCTTGATAACAATCATAGCTATGTAAAGAAAGAAATAGACACACTTAAGTGTCTATAACATTATATTTAGAAGCCCATGAATTTAACAAAGTATAATATACACTTAAAACTTTTTTAAAAAAGGGGTTTTTTTGGGGGCGGTAAACCCAAAAAAAGGGCAGTGCGCAATTCAGTTTGTTGTAAAACTGGTCAAGGGCTTTAAAAACTTTAATTTAAAAGTAAAAACACCCGGATTTTTTCTTTTTTGAATAATTTTGTCGGGAAAACAAAACCAAAAACTTTGGTTTTAACCTACGGGGTTGGGGCATCCCTATAACGTTGCAGAAATCAGTCATAATAAAAAAATTTTTTTTGCCATTTTTTGCTTTTTTCTTCTTATCATACAAAATTCGGTTTGAAAAAGAAATTAGCCCTATTAAATTTCATTCCCGTTGGTTAAAAAGGCAAGTTTTTAGCATTTTTTATAAGCCCCTTTGCTTTTATACCGGGGAATCCCGGATTTAGTTGGTGCTCCAACCCTCGTTTTATCCAAAAAAACTTTTTTTTTAGAAGAAATATCAACGCCATTTTTTTATTTTTTGGAAATCCCCAAACGATTACACTGGCCAGTTTTTCATTATTACTCTGCTAAAAACCTTTCGATGCCTCTTAGTCACGAATTGTCTTATATGGCGCTGTCTCATGATCATGCTACATTTTAATTTTGCTTATGTATTTCCAGGCGGTACCTTATAATCACTCTTCATTGATATCTTGCGGTGGTTGGAAAGCCACAAATATCTTGCCTGGCGGTGCCTCAAAAACCAAATGACGACCACTCCCCAAACCCCCAAATCCCACATCCTGTACATCATTAATAGTTACTCTGATATCTTGTGATACAAATATTATTTATAGTTACAGTTCGTTATGTTGCACTAATGATTGGTAAATGATACCATATCGAAAATTAGCGCAACTTT